TTTTTTTGACTTATTGTAGAGATGAGGTCTTGCTGCCCAGGCGGGTCTCGAACCTGCGGGCTCGGGCAATCCACTCACCTCAGCCTCCGAAAGGCGTGGGATTACAGGCTGAGTCACCGAGCCTGGCTAACTATGCATATTTTTGTAGTAGCATTTGTCAAAGTATTACACTGAAGATTTAACCTTATGTTGTAGATGGGAAAACCAAATCAGATATAAGTTTTAGGCGATTTTTTCTAAAATCATGCAGAATTAGAAATTAAAAAGTAAAATATAATTTTTAACAGTTTTCAAGTTCTTTCTATATTTCGATGTCTCTTAATTTACAGTTTTATAATTAACAAATCTTTAAAGATCATGTTTATTTGTACTTAAAAGCCCCTCGCTTTGATAATCTGACAGGCAATCTGTCATTACCCCAGTCACTTAGTGATTCTTTGTGTTTTTGTGTGTATGTTTAACAGTTCAAGAGCATCAATTTTTCTTCTCATTATTCTACCTGTATGTGTATATGACCTGTCTTATTTAATTGATTGACATTATCACTTCATTTCCACTTCTAGTCTTAGAGGAACTCAAAAAATAACTTAGTAGTGTATTCACTCTAACAGGCTCGGTTGACTCCTTTATGTGAAACTGGAGGAATTTTTTTTAAGAAAGATAATACAAATTATACTCTTGTTCTCTTCATTCTTAGGAGTTGGCTTTCTAAGAATAGTCTAATTGCTTGGTGGAATAATTCCTCTGTGAATCAAGAAGTGCTCTGCTACTTATTAAAAGTTTAAACAGTAAATATTAATTTACTCTCGCTGGGCTCGGTGGCTCAGCCTGTAATCCCGCGCCTTGGGAGGCTGAAGTGAGTGGATTGCCCGAGCCCGCTTGTTCGAGACCCACCTGGGCAACTTGGCGAGACCTCATCTCTACAATAAATAAAAAAATCAGCTGGCATGGTAGCACGTGCCTGTAATTCCGAATACTCAGAAGGCTGAGGTGGAAGGATCGCCGGAGCCCAGTGGGTCGAGGTTGCAGTGGCTGGGAGCGGCCACTGCACTCCAGTCTGGGTGACAGAGTGAGACTCCAACTCAAAAAAAAAAAAAAATTTAGTGGACTCTCAATGTAAGAATTCTCTTATTGATTATGATTACTGCAAAATTTAAAAAGTGTTCTCTCACTTTTATGAGTTATTACAAAAACGCTACAGAGTTGCTAGAATTCCTTTTGTTTTGTTTTGTTTGACTCTTAATTTATATTCCTGATTAAGAGTTATTTGGGATTATGCTATCAATGGAGGAAGGATCATGATTTCTGTGGTGGTGCAAAGCTTCATCCTTCAGGTGGGTGGTTGGAGTAAAGTTGATATGTGTCCAATGTCAAACAAACGGAACCTTGAGAACAGAGACTGCTTTTAAACAACAGTGAAACTCTGGAGGCTGGAGACTGATTCATAGTTCCTCTAAAAATTTAGTTAAAGTGGAAATTCTATTCTCACTACACCAAATATGTTTAATTTGTGATTCTCTATCTAGATCTGTGCTGTTCAGTATGATAGTCATGAATCATACCTGGCTATTTAAATGTAAAACATAATTAATTCAAATGAAATAAATTTAAAATTCAGTTCCTCAGTCTCACTAACCACATTTAAAGTGTTCAGTAGTCATATGTGGCTAGTGGCTACTATATTAGACAGTACAGACCTAGAACATTTTCTTCACTGGAGAAAGTTCTATTGACTATTACTGAGCTAGATAGTACACATATTTTTCAAGCTAAAATGTCTAGATTGTGTTTCTCAGAACACTAGGAAATCTTAAGTGGAATACAGAAAACATAACAAAGAACTACAAGTTCTTTATTTGTGCCTCTAAGTAGTAAATTTTAGACAACAAAAATTTATAATTGGTTCTCCGTTGCTTCCCTAAGCCCAGAACTAAAAAAATATTTGACATTCCTCCTTTCCCAATTAAGATCATAGCCAAGAATGGCTTGCTGAATTTTAATGCAAAGATGGAACTCTGAACTGTGCTGAGAGGCTTAGTGAATAAAGGAATTTCTGGATGATTTAGCCTTTTATTTTGTTTGGGATTATTTTTAAGTGGGATCATAGTTTGTAGAATGAAATATTTTAGAATTTACCATTTTGGGCAAAGAATACTAACAGAAATCATGCATATAATTTACAAATTTATACATATATAGAAACAAAAATATCACATTCATTACAGTGGCAGAAGATGAACATAATTGCTAATTATCTTTCTAAGTTGAACTTTTTGCTTAATGTCTTCTTACTAAAAATTAAAATAGAAGCACGACTAATTGTTTCTCTTTGGAAAAAGGAGCAAATAATAATTGTTCTAAGCTGTTTTAAGGTGAATCTCCTATGGTTTAAGGGCTTAAATTCTAATATTCACATAAGTTTGATTTATGTTTGCTGAAACAGGCAACGACTTTGTGTCTGTATATGGCTCTGTTAACACAGGTGTAAATTAAAAGTCCACAGCCTTGGTTTGAGTCCTTAATAAATAGACTTGGTGATTATGACATTTGTTCCTATCTTGTCACTTTTACCTCTCAAATCCAGCTGACACACTTAGGGTAGGAATAGATCTAAGCACCAAAGCTCAACTGTTTATGAAAAAAAAGTTTCATTTTCAATAATGCAGTTATACTCTGACCCCCTTTTCCACTAGGTTGTAGGGGGAAATTTTTTCATTTCTGTCACTCCTAGGGTATCTCAGGAACCTCTGAAGAGTTTACAGTGTCCTAAGACCTTAAAGCATGCCAAGGATTCAATGTATGTGAGGGCACTGGGCACCTACTACTCTTAAGGCTTAGGCTGATGCTGATGGTGCAGTCACTTCAGGGCCAGGGGTGCTCTCTTGGTCTAACAGTCTTCTCAGTGTTCAGAACCTGGTCCCTTGTTTATAAACTGCTGAATTCATAGGTTGGTTCCTTTGTGCTAGTACTCTGTTTGACTTTCAGAGTGATTTTTACTTTTTTGTTTAATTTAAATAAGTTTCTGAGCTTTACCATTTGTATACCTAAACTGAATTGAATCCCACATTTTCAAAATAAAAAATTTTAAAAAAGAAAAAATCAGAAAATTACAGACAAAAATGACTTTTCTCACTAAAGAAGATATACAGATGGCAAAGAAACATTTAAAAAGATACTCCACATCATTTATCGTCAGGGTTGTGCAAATTAAAATAGCAATAATGACTATTAGAATGGCCAAAATCTGGAATGCTGACAAAACCAAATGTTGTTGATAATGGGGAGTAACAGGATCCCTTGTTCCTTGCTGGTAGGAATGCAAAACAGTACGGACACTTTGGACAACAGCTTGGCCGTTTCTCATACAACACAACTGTCTGATCCAACAATCGCACTTCTTGGTATTTACTCATAGTAATTAAAAACTTACATCTAAACAAAAACCTTCGCCACACATGTTTATAGCAGCTTTATTTTTAATTGCCAAAACTTGGAAGCAACCAAGATATTCTTCAGTAGACAAATGGATAAGTAAACTATAGTACATGAATGGAATATTATTAGTGCTAAAAAGTAATGAACTGTCAAATGATGAAAAGACATAGAAGAAATGTAAATGCAGATTATTCATTGAAAAAAAACCAATCTGAAAAGTCTATATTCTATATGATTCCAACTATAGGACATTCTGGAAAAGGCAAAACTATGGAGACAGTTCAAAGATCAGTAGTTGCCTAGGGTTGGAGGGAAGGAGGAATGAATAGACAGGGCTCCGAGGTCATTTGGGGTAGTGAAAATTCCCTGAGTGATAATATAATGATGAATTCATGTCATTAGACACTTGTCCACACCCAGAGAATGTACAACACCATGAGTGAACGCCAATGTAAACTTGGGGCTTTGGGTGATAATGATGTATCAATATAGCTCCCTCAGTTATAACAAAGGGATCACTTTGGTGCTGGATGTTGATAATTGTGGAGACTATGCATAGGTGGAGACATGGGGGATATGGTGAAACACTATTTTCCTCTCAGTTTTGCTCTGAACCTGAAACTTCTCTTAAAAAAATAAAATAAAGTCTGTTGGCGCAGAGGTGCACGTATGTAGTTCCAGTTACTTGTGAGGCTGAAGTAGGAGGATCTCTTGAGCCCAGGATTTCAAGACTGGAGTATGCTACGATGGCACTCCAGCCGTGGCAACATGTTCAGACTAAGTCTCTTTAAAAAAAAATATACAAATAAAGACATGAAAGTCTTCAAAAATGACATTCTGTCTTTTTAGTGAAACTAAAAGATTTGACAACTTTTTGTCATCATTTTTGTATTACCCATTGGTTGGCACAAATTAGTGACTATCTACACATACCCAGTTCTTCTGTGACCTCACACTTAATCTCCCCAACCAGCCCATCTCAATCATTTACATTGCTTGCTTGGCCAGAACTCTGTGAATTACAGCACTGAGTTGATATTACTTTAAGACAAGGGGCTCTGTCCTTTGGGAGTAGTGCTCATCTTTGGCCATAGGTTTCACTGGGGCATCTTGCGGCTCCTGGGTGTGGCAGCTTTCACTCAGACAGGGAAATTCTCCAGAGAAGGGAGCAGCTGTGAGCCATCAGAGACCAATAGGCACAGAAGCTGCAGCATGGGGGTACCTATTTGGTAAAAGAACTCTGGGTAGGGCACCAACAGCAGCTACTATTATATATAATATCTTTTACTTAGTGTAAAAAAAATAGAGAAATTATTTTCAAAATCTATTTAATTGTGAAAGTTCTATTTGAAGTATTTGTTAGTTATTCACACATTGTTTAGTCACATTTAAGATCAACTCTATATTGTGTTTTCAGTTCCTAGAACCATACAAATAGTTGTAACCTTAACTGATTTGATTTAAAGTGTGATGTATATAGATGTATGTGTACATATATGTGAATATCTGTGTCTAGAGATAGAAACCAAATTCCTGAATGTAACAAGTGTTTTCTAATATTATAGCACCAGCCCAGCTGAAGCCACCTTTGGTTAAAGAAATCAACAGCACAACAATCCATCTTAGATGGTTTCCACCTGAAGAACTAAATGGACCCTCCCCCATATATCAGCTGGAAAGGAGAGCGGTATCTCTATCAGCTCTGTCGGCCATGATGATGAAAGGAATCCGTTTCATAGGAAATGGGTATTGTAAATTTCCCAGCTCCACTCACCCAGTCAATACAGACTTTACTGGTAAGTGTGTTTGACGTTGCTTTATTTAAGAGATGCTAAGTCCCAAGGTGTTTTGTATTATTTTGATATTCCTTCATAATGAATTTTTAAAATACCTATTTATATAAATACTAATTTAGCCCTTCTATACCTGTTGTCTGGTTGTGTCAACATGTCCTTTTTTAATAGTATTCTGGAAGAAAAAGGTGGGAAAGGAAATAAAAAAAACGATGTGGAGAAATAGTCTCACTGGATTGAAGTATGTACTTGAGATGGGTCTTAGACACTATTTGCCGGAACATGTTCCTCAGAATGTTTTTCATTGTATTCTGTGGCTGGATGAGTTTGAGAAATACCCCCATGCTGTTGGAGATTCTCAATGAACATCATATTACTAAAGCCCCTAAAAAGAATGATAAGAATGATAAGAAAGCTGTTTAACTTTGTTTCACTGAGTATGCCTGTTAGGTATGGGAAGTAATTTTTTTTATTTATTTATTTAGTGTATCAATTATTAATATTATAGGTTCTGTGGAGAGCATAATGGGAAAAACTAATTTCAGGGAAAACATAACTTATCTGGGCCCCAGGACTGTGGTAAAACGAGCAGGGTTCTTGCCTCAGGCATAAAATTTAAAGGCACTAAAAAACCCCATATTAATGCAAATATTTTAATGCAATATAAAAAAATGAAAATCAATGCAAAAAAAAGTCTACAAAAAATACTATCAAAATTTTAAATAAAGACAGAATTGAATCCTGCACTTAAAGAATCCTGCCTCACTTGCCTTACCCTTCTCCTGGTTTTCTTAGTACCACAATATTCTGGAAGTCCCATGGCTGTTATAAAGTATAGCTCCTAATAGTACTATTTAAATTAGGCTATAGAAATTATAACTGTTTATAGCACATACTTTACTTTTCCCAATTTAAAATAAATTTACAAAGTATTAGGTATATATTATTCTGTAAATTCATAAAGATATGCATTTAACCCACGAGAAAGTCATTTTGGAACAAATAGCTAGTTTTTAAAATATTGCATATGTGAGAACAATGAAATGGAATTTGAATTATAAAAAATTATTCTTTTATTTTCACCTAAAATAGTAAATAGTTTTTCATTGAGGCTGGCTGCTGATATACCTTTGCAATGAATCATGATTATGCCCTAGCTGAGATGTATTGAGATTAATGCATGTTTAACTACTTTCCCAGTACATCACTGAGTATTAGAAATTGAACCATTGAACTCTTTTCTTCTAAAATATTCAACAACTTCACTATATTCTTAAAATGGCAAAATAAAACAAGAAATAAAAAGAAAAATAGGTATCGAAAAAAGAAACACATATTTAGTAGTAAAATGTTTTTCTCCAAGGGAAATTTAGCTACCTCTCTGGTTCAACATTTGGCTTATGATGTGTTTCTTTCAGGAAATACCATCCGTTTCCTTTCAACTGGGTATAACTGCTGCAAGGATGTCAACTTGGATTTGCAGGCTAGCCAGCAGACAGATTTTTGATGGGATCACCTACTGTTGTTGCAGTGAAAGACAGAGTGGCCCGTCCACCGTTAATAAATTTAGTCATCCTCACCATCCCCCTTGCTGGCCTTATAGTCTGAGGTGCAAGGGCTAGGGGCAGATGCAGTGTCTGGGAAGTTTTCCAAATTCCTCTTTAAAAAAGTTAGGCTGTAAACACCGACCTCACGAAGCAGGATCCTTCTGTCTATAACAAAGCCTCCAGCTGCACAGAAAATGTGCTCGGAGTACACATCATTTGAAGGACAAGGCAGGGAGATCACAATTTTGGTTTGAACTACTCCCTAGAGCTTTGGTGATTCCTGGAGAGTGAGAAGTTCTTCTGTGTTCAGGCACGTTCTGGGACATTGCTGGTGCCTTTTTAATGGTAGCTTAACTTTACTTTTAAAGCTCTCTTTAACTTTTGAAATAACCAGGTCTACATCAAGTTATTGGTTTGATCCTTTGCTTAATTGTCAGGTTTGGTTGAATAATTTTATTGAATTGGACCATGGCTGAACTAAATTTACCCAATTAATGAACTAGGACAGTTTCCAAAGCCATCAATGACTTTCTTTTTAAACTTGCATCTTTAAATAGAGAGGTATGTGTATAAATACCACCTTACCTTTGTCTTCCTGAAGTGTTCTTTCACTCAATCTCTCTGCAACTGTATAAAGTAGGGTTGTCTTTGCCCTCATATTACATGAGGAAATGAGGCTCCAATAGGTAGCTTGCCCAAGGTACTACACCTGTTGAATCTCAGGGTTAAAACTTGAATTGGAGGCTAGTAATTCCAAGACTAGGGCTCTCCTTATGTGGGAAGAAGCTTTTATAGACCGTTCTTTGGAAGTTATGGAATGGGAAGTACCTTAGTACTTAGATAATTAATAGGGATGAGAGGTAAAATAATTATCACTCAAATATTTCTTACCCAACACTGCTAGACTTTTGGATTTGTCTTTCAGTTAGTTTTCAGGTCATAAACAGTAAGCAGTGTTAGCACTATTTACTTATTCCTATCCCAAGGACATCTATGGATCCTTTTTTATAGCAATTAATTCTAGAGTATCTAAGATCTACATGAAATTATTTTAAATGCGCCAAAGTGCTATTTGTTAAACAGTGTTATCACTTTGCATTCCTTTATGTTTTATTCAGTTTTTATATTCTGAGACACATTTAATGAGCAAATCTTAGAAACTTCTAATATGATGAATTTTAAGATAAACTAAGATGTCCTTTATTTTGAATTGTCCATTTCAACATATCAAACTTTAGCTAAAATGATTCCTGAACTATGAATGGAAATACCAATTAACACTCAGAAACAAATATATGGTGATATACATATGTACTTATGCATATTTTATATATGAAAAATAAGTCACATTTTACCCATCAATGAAAGGATTTACATGCATTCATAATATATTCCATGACCATGAGCAATATGTTGGAAGTCTCAGTATAAAATACCTCATTATTGCAGTCCAAGAAATGAATTTTTTATATAGCTCATAGTTGCTTTAGATATTTTTAACTTATACAATATGAGAATGATTCAAGCCTATGTATATATGTACTAAATTGTTGCTTAATGTTGTAAATTCTGGGTTGATGCATACGTTCATAACGTTTTTCACTTGCCCATGGAATGCAAATGTTGCATAATGGTTAACTGGTCACAGTTCATCACATTTGCCGATTTTCGGGTTGACTGACATGGATTATTGAGGATTGAAGCCTTTAAATGGCCTTCATCAATGCCCAATTGCCTTCCTGGACATGGAGAGTCACTCAGGTCAAAGTGATACATGATGGAATACTATGCAGCCATAAAGAATAACAAAATTATGGACTTCGCAGCAACTTGGATGTATTTAGAGTCTATGATACTCAGTGATTTATCACAGAAACAAAGAATTAAGTACCACATGTTCTCACTCATACGTGGACCCTGTACTTACCATAATACTATAAAAAAGGGATTGACAGTAGTTGGAAACTGCCAGAGGTGGAAGGGGGGGCATATAACAATAAGGGTACCTGATGTCAAACCAGGCAATGTGGGGACCAAAGGGAGGCCCAAACTTTACCTGTATGATGATCACTTGTATACCAAATCCTGAATTGTACTGCACATTTTAAAATTTTAAAAAAAAATGAAATGACAAAACTCTTTTCTAGTCATGCTTTCCCCAATGGCATTCTCCCCATACATGGAACAAATGTTTCGCACCACCTCCACTACTTTTACTCCTCTGTTAAACTCAAACTAAATCATATGACAGTTTTTCTACTTGACATTCCTTATTTAGCAAATAGACAGCATTAAATTTCTTCAAATATGCAAAATGCAAGGTATATTTACAAGTGTATCATCGTCACTCCAAATGACAAGCGACCAACAAATTCCCAACACTGCAGAGTTACCATGCCAAAAACAAAGGCTACAAATGTATGCATCAGCCTAGTATTAGGCTTTGAATTTTTTCTTATTTTTTAAATTTTATAACTTCTTTATTTAAAGTATTACCAATTATTCTTGTTACATTTTTATAGCCAAAAGAAAAATCTTTTTCTTGGAGAAATTTACAGGTTATTTTTTTCCCCACAAATATGTATGATTGCATAAGTTCAGTAAGTTTTCTTTTGTAACACTGGTTATTTTACCAAGACTCTAACTGAATAATATTTTCTTTTCTTTGTTTTTCTTTTTTTAAAAATTTTAAAATTGTGGGGTACAATTCAGGGTTAAGTATACAGATATTCATTGTTCAGGGACCTTTGTTGATGAGGTGTGCCCCACTTACCCAGGCAGATATTGACTATGGTCAGTCCCACCTCCCCATCTCCCCCTCACCCCATAAGTTTCCCACTACTGTCAGTCCTTTTTTTTTAGTATTACGGTAGTTTTTCAAGGTCCACTTATGAGTGAGAACATGTGATACTCAGCTCTTTGTTTCTGTGAGAGATCACTCAGTATTAACATCAAGGATCTACAAGAAACTCAAATGTGCTGAAAAGAAAAAAAAAAAAACAGCCCCATTACAAAATAGGCAAAAGATATGAATAGACACTTCTCAAAAGAAGACATACGAGCAGCCAACAGATGTGTGAAAAAATGTTCAACCTCACTAGTCATCAAGGAGATGCAAATTAAAACTACACTGAGATACCACCTAACTCCAGTCAGGATGGCCATCATCAACAACTCAAAAAATAACAGATGCTGGAGAGGATGTGAAGAAAGGGAACACTTCTACACTGTTGGTGGGAGTGTAAACTAGTACAACCTCTGTGGAAATCAGTGTGGCAATTCCTAAAAGTTCTAAAAATCGACCTTCCATATGACCCTGCAATCCTCCTACTGGGAATATACCCGGAAGAATACAAATCACTCTATGAAAAAGATACCTACACGTGCATGTTTGTCACAGCATTGTTCACAATAGCAAGAACATGGAACCAACCATGCTGCCCATCAAAAGAGGACATGCTGCCCATCAAAAGAGGACTGGACAAAAAGAAATGTGGTAGATATACACAATGGAATATTATGCAGCCATAAAGAAGAACAAAATCATGAACTTTGCGGTAACCTGGATGGAATTAGGCTTAGTATTTTAAATAAAACCTGTGAAAATCTACCTTTGGGCAGAATAATGAACCAGATAAAACTATTTTCAGATCTGTTTTTGCTTCTTTTTTTTTTGGATACAAGTGTTCTTTCAAAACTTTAATCTCCAGGAAGAATATATTATCAGTATTTATATTATAGTATACATTTAAGATTATGTATTAACTTCCCCACCTCTAAATGGTTCAGAATGAGGACTTTGGGAGCAAATTAAATGATAAGTTATTTTCAAATCCAGGTTTCATTATTTACTTGAATGTAATTAGACAAACCACTTATCTTCTTTGGACTTCTATTTCCTTTTCTTTAAAATTGTCATAGTTAAACCACTTAGAATATTGGTATCTGGCAGGTTGGTGAATATTAAAGGAGAAATCCAGCCTAATAAACTTTACACAGTACCTGTCACATGGATTATTTAGTACTTTAAACATTAGCTGTTAGCTATTGTTCATTTAACAAATATTCATTAAGTTCCTACTATGAGACAGAAGCTTTTCTAAGTAAATCTTCGCAATTTGTAAGATAAATATTCTATCAATTCATTTGCTGTTACACATGCAAGATATCTTTGTCTAAATGTTATATCTGGGATATGAATAATATGCAATATTCTATATTACAATGTGATACTTAATTTTGTTATTGAAAATAGTTAAATTAATCTACTTAGTCTTGAGACATTGGGCAAACAACTTTTCTGAGTTTCTAGTCTTGCTTATATATTAAATTGAGGGCTATGTTCAGTAGCCATTCTAACCTCTAAAATTCCAATTATGTGAATACAGAATATTTAAGTAGCCCCAAAAATTCAAAACAGAGGTTGTTACCAAGGCATCAGTGAGTTTGAAGATTGGTATATTTTTTAAAGTAAATTGTTCTGTGTAATATTATGCTTATAATTTTGATTTGATATAAATTTGTTCATTTTCCCTACTGATCTGAGACATGTAGTGATATAGGCAAAATTCTCAACATAAAATGGATACTTAGTTCTTGAGTTATATCAAATGATATAAAGCAGCTAATTAAACATAGTTTCATAATCTTACAATTAGAAAATGATATAAACACCATGGTGAAACAGTCCCTTCTTATATGGGATTAACAGTACTTTCTCCTTCCAAACAGGAATAGCAA